AAGAGGGGGAATTGTTGGATTATAATATTATTTTATGCCATGTTAGACCCTGTCAATATAAAATTGTACTTAGTAGTCAGTATAATCTTTTTGTGATATATAAGTTTGCATATTATAGAATACAGCATGATGACCCTTTTATGACTTAGACTGTCGTTGGAATCAAGACTTGCTTTATAAATTCTTTCTCACAGTGATAATAGCTGAGCAAGCTGTTATCATTTCACTCCTGCCAGGAAGAGGGGAGCTGGATGCTCTTATCTTCAAGAAGAGGGGCCACGTCCTTCAGAATAACACACACACACACACCTGAACCACTTTTATCTTCACTCCCTACATACTAACATTCCTCTGTTAATGAATAGATGTATTCACTGTTGTATTACTTTTGTATATAAATAAAGGCAAGTGCAGGAACAAAGCGCACATCACAGGGCCCCCACTCTGGTGTGAGCGTTCTGTGATCATGCCCTTGCAAGTAAAAACTGCAGCGTCTGTGTGTTTCTACCTTTAGATTCTTAGCTGAAGAAGTGTCTTAAGAATAAATCTCTTGACAGACCCCTAATTAAAGATTGTGAATTATTATGTAGTTTTAGTTTGCATTATTCTCCTGAATTAGAAGAAGGTGATAACTATTACATTTGGTAAACTGATTTGCATTACATTAGACTGTTGATTTATTGTGAATGAATGATATTGTTTTATGATGCATTATACTGCTGAGTTATAAGAAATACTGTTCCAGAAAGTCATCGCCTTATCTGTCTGATTAGAAGAGAACAGAGCATACTGTCCCATCTCAGCAGGAGCAGATGAACAGGGAGCCAAGGTCGTAGCTTAGGCGCTGTGTGAGAGAAAGAATGTGAATGTTTAGGCTTTTATGATTAGGTGGGGGCCACTAGAGGCTATAAGAGTTTGATCAAGGCTCCACCATTTTGAGATCTGATGCTGTCTGCTGTATGGTGTCCATCTCCCACGCGTGTGTTCATTAAATCTTCGTTTGACTTGACCCGGCCGGACCAGTGTTGTTATTTTGTTTTTTCCTCTTGTATCCATCCCCAATATTTGAAACAGTAACAGGGGTCATATGATTGTTGGGTTTTTCTCTGTATCTATGAAGCGCCTTGAGGTGACTTTTGTTGTGATTTGACGCTAAATAAATAAAATTGAATTGAAATGAATTGAATTGTCTGCAGAGCAGGAGGTAAGGATGATTTACATCATTAATCAATGCAAAAACTTTCCTAATTTACTAAAAACGGTGTGGTCTCAGAATCTCATCTCTGCTTTTCGTGGATGATGTGGTTCTGTTGGCTTCATCGGGTGACTGTTCTTGTTTATCCATTATTATTGTTGCCACATGTTAAGCTGCAGCTACAGGATACACACTGCTAGTACCATGCTGTGACAGAGCTGCAACAGTGTGTGACATTCTAACCAGATAAACCTGCAACACACCTGCACCTCGCTTCATTTTGTCCACATTTCCTCTCAAAACTTCTTATTTCATCGTCAATACATCAGACATTTTTAAAGATGAAATATTCATGCTGCAATTCATTTCCCGGGTTGTCAATCAATCCAGTCTTTTTCAGCCACTTCAAATATCTCTACACGACTGTGACATTTCATACTTGTTGCAATTTCTGCTGCCCTTTTGGCTAGAAAGAAACGTGTTAAGATTGTTCTTTCTGGCTCAAAATAACTTTATAGTATTCATGTTTGAGACATGTTTGACAGATTATAAATTATTTGCAGATTACAGATGACAGATTATTTAGGCAATTATTTAACAATTCAGAAGCTTTAATAGAAAATTTCGGGTTGTTGTGTTTTTCTGAAATTACATTGTGTGTTCAAATGTGGAAGACGGTGGTGAATGACAATACTGTGCTGCAGCGTTATGTAGCAGAGAAATTACACAAAGAAGCACAGCACAGTCTGCCTGTACCACCAAGGTAATGTTATCACACCTAGAAATGCTGTAACTCAAATCAGTCAAAGCCTCTGCCATCATTACCGGGGGTGGTAGCAGCTGATTCGTGATTACTTTTATTAACCAAAGCTTTACCCGTAAGACTAGCTTTAGCTTGCAACTAACGTGTAACAAAAGTGTCGCTAACTAGCTTACTGAGCCTGGTCAGGCAGTTAGCTCAGAAAAAGCAACTTGTTTGTGGATGTGGACGGATATAATGAAACGGTGCGTTGAATTAACACATCTTGGGAGAGAGAAAAAAAAAACTCACCCAGCTTTCAGCAGTGTTGGTTAGCTTCTGTTTCTTGTTCGAGTTGCCGAGAGTCTCCATGCCTGGCAGCAGTCAGCAGCTAATTCAAACGGTACCTCTTTAGAAAAACAACCAAAAAAAAAGCAAATACAACACCCAACCCGGTTTATTTACTTGTAGAGGTATCTGTTCGTGGGTCAGGTGCGTCTAGCGGATGGAGGAGACCGGAGCTGAGCAGCCTATCTAGCACAACAACCGGGAAGAGGTGTTTTTCCAAGCTGCTACGTCACCATCGAAGAAGTGACGCGTTTCCTCCGTCTTTGGTTGGTTCCAGAAAAACTGACCTGGTGTCAGTTCTGCTTCATCGTCGTCTCCTCTCGCGCAATAGCTGACTCGGAGACGTAACTGATCCGCAACCTGCAAGTGTGAAAATACATTTTTTTAAAAAACACTGTAAAAATAAATAAATAAAAGTAAATAGATGTTTTCGAGGAGTCATTTCAAATATTTATGTTTAAAAAAAATCTGTAGGTTATTATTATCAACCTGGTTATGTGTGTAATTATACAAATAACAGCGCTGGCAACTGGATAAAAAAAGAGGGGTTTGTAATTAAAAAGGTAAACTTAATAAAAATAGAACGGCTATTTGCAGTTGCAATCAGCTACAGGGTGGTGCGTACGCTGATTACAGGACTGCTGGTGTGATTTGAAGGGGATGCTGGGCAGGAAGCTGCTTACTGAGGCTGAATCAGTGTGAGAAATACGCGCAGCATCAGGGAGGAGCGCTCCCTCAAAAACGAGCGGCTCTGTGGCGTAATGTAACAGACCAGACCGAGAGGAGCGGCGAGCAGACAGCAACGGGGATTTAAGGAACTGCAACTCCGGGAAGAGGCCCGAGCAAGGCAGGTATGATGCTATGAACTGTGCAACATGTGAATCTAAATATAGAGAGATCGCATTCTCATCGTTAGCCTATATGCTGGCTTAGATGTGTTTAAAAGGCTACAGTAATTGTGATGTTAATAAGCTATGTGGTGTTGGAATAAATGAATATTGCTTTAGTGATGACATTTAACTTTTCCCCTTTTTCTTGTTTACAGATTTAGAAATGTACTGTAGGTATGACTCCTAGTAAACGTACGTGGACTGTCTCTGATGTTGTATATAGTATAGATTTCATTTATTTGCATATATTAATGCAAAAAGTTATCTTCCGTAGATCGTTTTGCATGAGCTGGAAGGCTCCGTTTTTATATGACGATGAAACATCAGGTGACATAGGCTGCAGTGAAAAAACCAAGTCCACACAATGCAAATTAGGCGGCCTATTTTTGAAGTATACAAAGTAGTTTTGGCCTCCTTGCACCCTTGGCCTTGCTTTAATTCTATTTTTAATAATTCACTTCTCTGTTCCAAGTTACATTAGCTTTGACTTGAAACGACAAGGCTTAATTACAGGATGTGTAATGACCTGTTGCCCCACCCAGTAGCCTTGTGTTTTAACCTAGTGTTTCAAACTGTGTGTGGGGCCACTGTGCTACACCCCAAAAGTAAACTTCAAAAACCAGCTGTGCCGCACACATCACATGTGACAGACTGCCACCCTCTTATATATATGGGAAGCGTGGGTGACACCCAGTCCCAAACCTGACATTACTGCCAGTATCCACCCCAAATGTGGTCAGGCAAGCCAGAAAAGTACTCTGAGGCTATTTTTACATGTGCTCTGTGGAATAGGATGTGTTATACCAGAAGTAAAACAACAATGGCTTGTTCTGTTAGTAAGAAATTAATACTTACGTGTCTCGGTGAGCAAACTGAGATGTTAAACTAGTGCTGTTTAGTAGTCGTGAGATCTATTACAGAGCAGAAATGCTCTGTGATTAACATTATTGGGATGCCATGTTTACTAGGAGTCAGGGAAAGAGATACAGCATAGTATCACAATATATTTATCTTATTGGATAAAGTAAATACTGTCAAAGCTTAGCTTTAAGGACGTTATTTGCAGTTGACAAAAGGTGATAAATTGCAATATAGGTTATTGCAATGCTCCGCATATTGCAAAATTTAAAAACAAATGGCAGTAATAAGATATCACGAGTGAAGTATTGTAAATATTAAATACTGTAGCGTCGGGTCTCTGGTGATTCCCACATCTAATGTTTACTGGTTACAAAGGAAGACACAAGAATAGCAAAGTTAATTAAACTACTGCCAGTATATGATCAAAGTGCATTATCTCCAGCTCATTTCATACACACACACACACACACACACACACACACACACACACACACACATATCTATATCTGTAGATATATATCTATATCTATAGATAGATAGATAGATTGATAGATAGATTGATATATAGATACATGTTGTTAATAACTAATAGTTTAAAATAACATAGTTTATTCTAAAGAAGCTTTCTTACGTTTTTACAAATTTTCATTTTCCCTTCATTTTGATTGTATTTCTCTTACTTCCCAACAACAGTCATCTTAAAGTATTTTGTACTATAAAGTAAAATTCCTACATTCCCCTGTGAGTAAGCAGTCAGCAATGGTGGGGAGGAAGAACTCCTTTTTAGCAGAAGCAAACTCAGAGAGGTGCAGCAATCTGCTGTGACAAGCTGAGGGGGAAGAGAGAAAAAAGAGGAGAAGAAATGTTCAGCACATCATTGGAAGTCCCCCAGCAGTCTTACCCTGTAAGACCACAACTAAGGGATGGTTCAGGGTCACCTGATCCAGACTAAACTATAAGCTTTGTCAAGACTTTTTTAAGGCTAGTTTAAGAAGTAGAGAGGGTGTCTATCTACCCTATCTGAACCCATTTGATATTTACTTTACTTATTCCCTCTTACTTGATGTTACACATTTCAGCAACAGAGAACTGAGTTGTTTTTACTTTATTATTTTTAGTTAAATTAATTTAGCTAATAAGAGTTTATGTTACACATTTTGTTACTTCACACATTATGAATTTGTATATTGACCGTTGCAAAGCGAGTTTGTTTAGGGGCACAGGTACTTCTGAGGCTGAAGAAGCCCAGTTACCAATTAATGCATCAGTACTTACAATCAGATAAATATTAATATTATTAATTAACAATTTGGGACCATTTATCTGGAACAGCAAAGACTTGAGATATGAGAGTGAGTAAATACTTAAGGAGCTAGCATTTAAACATTAATACAGTTTGCTCATATTATTTATCTGTTTTTATCTAGGCATGATGTTGAAGGCAGTATTTCTTTTACTTCCAGTATTGAATCTTTACTTTTTAAAGAGCAATGAATTATTGCTATTCCAGCTACCAGTAGTAACTTATGTTAATATTAATTATTGTTGCGGTGTTATTATTGTTGTTTTTGTTGCCATTATACATCAGCAAATACCTTGGGAGCTTCATCAATAAGGGAAACTGGTATAAAAATAAAAACAAATAAAATATGTAGAGTTTGCTGTAGGTACCCCTGTGTGAATGATTAGCTTTTTTCCCATCATTGCAAGCCTATCTGGACATTTCTTTTTTATCATAGATTACTACCACACACAGATTATTACAAAATCTCAACTATATGAGATACTTCTTTAACACATTTTTGTGTTTTGTGTTTATGTCCCGAAACAGTAAAGCTAAAACTCCAGAAATGCTTTACTTCTGAACACAGAGAAGCCTAGCTGGTTTTAGTAACATCATAACATAAAGTTAACTCCCTGGTCTCGTCCCTTCCTACAAGGCAGGGCCGCCGCTTTCCTTTAATGAAGGCTAGCTACATGATGCACAGACAGAAATGATTGGACAGCAAGGCAAGCATATCATTATGACGGGCCCAAAAGGGAGTTGAAAGCCTGGTTCCCCTGGAGTAAAATACAGCCTTTGAGGCAACTGAGTGACTTGTCTTGAAATAGCTTGGGTGAGTACTGGCGGCCAAGTTATCCATCATGGCTTGTGACCATGTGGAATAGTTTTTTGATGCCAGGTTTCCATCACCACCCATCCCATGAGTGTTCTGGTGCTCTGGCCAGTGGGAAAATACTGTCCTTGGCACACTGGGGAGGGAAGGGGACAGGAAAACGGGTCCGCTGAGACCCGTGTGCAGTGTATATAGTGCAGTCATCTAGGAAACAGAAAAACACAGAAAAACACGTGTCACAGATAACCCCCCCTCCCTTTCATTCTCATAACAAACAAACAAATAACAATAACAACAGCATTTAATATGTGTTTATATTGTTGTTTATTGACACCTGAGACTGCTTTAAACTAGAATGAATGGATGGTTCCAACCACACTGCCTCTAAATGATACAGTGAATCACATCTTGCATTATACCAAACCAAAAGATACATAAAGCCTTGTCACTAACATTACGATGGTCTTATAATGTTTGCTTTCTCGTGTTGACCTTGTCCAGAGTCTACATTTTAAGTTGCAGGTTATTTTTAGTGCAGTGTTTAGTGAATATTACCAGACAGGCTAAAGGCTAAAGGTAGAGCTCACTTTACTTAGAAAATAAATGCAAGAAAGAAAGGACAAGGGAGGTAATGACTGATTGGGGGAAATTATAGTACTACTGTGGATAATTAACTTTACATGTAAAGTTCAATTTAGTTTACCCATCCGCAGGAGCGATGATCGAGTCTCCTTGACCTCTCAGCAACTTTTAATCGTCATTAGTTTGTGCAGTACAACCAGCCAAAGACAATGAAACTTATAACTTCCTTTCTGTACTTCACATATTACAATATCATGTGTAGTGTGACAGATCGTGAGCCAGATGAGTCAGTGTCTTTGACATTCTGGCTTCAATCAGGCGGTGAATTCATACATCGTGTGTCGCTAATGTGACTTGGTTATTTAAAAGTGAAAAATGCCATTAAATGATTAAAAACACATTTAATGTTAATCCAGGACAATGATCACAGACTAAACTCGGTAGTTTGCATAACTGTGATGGACTCTGGACTCTTGTATTTGTGGACACTGCTAGCTTAGGTCCTGGGTAGCAGCCGAAATATTGTGAGGGAGAAAGAGGCGGAACTGAAAGAATTCCAAGCTGAAATATATGGGATCATTTTTTAAGAACCAAAGATGGTGGAAAAATATGACTTCCAGAGGGTAAAGTTTTTTCAAGACATGCTGTTTTATGTTCCAGTTAACCACTGAAATGACAGTAAATTTAGCTGTAAGTGAATAACTGTGTTTAAACTTTCAATTTGGATGCTTTGTTTTAATAGAGCTTACTTCTAGCAGGACTTTAATCCTTTGAATGTAAGCAGATGATGTTCTTTACTGAGACTTGCCAAATTCCACATTTATGCTAGCTTTACACCAGCTAAGGGCTGGAAAGCAGCTGTGATAGGTCAGGTAACATCTGCTTTTACAGAGCAGCATCCAGTTGGCTGGATGCTGCTCACCAGCATCCAGCCAACTGTAGCAGGTGAGCTGACCAAAGCCTGTCCATGAAGATCACAAATCTACTGGAGCTCATAATACAGATTTTTATGTGACTTATTTGTGCTGCACAGCAACACCAGAATTTAGGGTCCCCCCCCAACCTCCAACTGTTAAATCCCACTATAACCCTTTATTATAAACCATTAAAGCCTGTTAGACTTTGTGTTCTCCAGACCTCCATCAGTTACATAACACAGACTGAATCCTGTGTGGGTTAGTCAGAGGGCATTCTGCTCTAATGCTTTCTCTCCAGCAGTAATGTTTTCCTAAAAATTGATCTGAGTAAACTGATACTTTGGGTAGGCCTCCTGTATCCAGCCACGCTCTATTTCTATCCCATGTTTTATCCTACTGATAGGTTTCTAAGTAAACATACCATCATGTATGTATCCCAGATGACTTTTATTGTGATGCATTTCAGGGCTGATTGCAATAACCTCCACGTCCATTAAAGGAGCTGTTACCTTTTGGATGTCAAAAGATGAAAATGATCAGTGCTGTAGTGTACTCTCACAGTCATTAAGTGAAAATAGCCCAACAACAAACACGTCACTAACTCTTCTCCAGTTTTGCAAACAACAAGGTAATGTTTGACCATACACTGACTGGAATGACCATAGCAGTTGCTCGCTGAGAAAAAAAAAAAACTACAGCAGTGTAATGGAAAGACTTTGGAAGTACTAAAAAAAAGAGGATGATTGAATGTCCAAACAGAAAACTGCCTGAGTGCTTCTGGTGAATGTCCAATAAATGGAAAGTATAACTCGCAGCATTAACTCATACAACCACATTTGGCTTTGTGTCACAAACTCCAAAATAGCTTTTCAAGATTAAAATGGACGTTTTATGCAGTGGAATCCAAGACTTTGTGTCAATAAAACCTTTATGTCTTCATTAATTACTCCTAAAATAAGGAAGAGCAAAAATAAACATAAACCCGAGTGTTTTCCAGCTCTCGTTACTTGTTTGTACTTTTCTGTCTTGTACAAACGACAGTTGCACACGCTTTCCAAACCTAACCGCTTGTCAGTGTAATCCTTTTGTTTTCTCTCATCACAGCTATAAAGCCTCAGCCCAGAGCCACATTGTCTGTGCATGGACAGTGCAGGCACCCATGGCATCACAGGAGCTCGTGGATGCGAGAGACTCAGCCGCTGATAATACGAACCCAGGAATGGAGGGTGCCGCGGTGCCCAACGGCGGTAAAACTTGCCCCGTCCATGCAGCGGGTGGAGAGGATACAAAGAGGGGCTTTCGGAAAGGCATAGGCAGGCATAATGATTACGTCAAGATCTCCCTGCCGGAGTCCAAGGTCAATCGTCTGCCTATGGAGTGGTGGAAGACAATAATCGCTTTCTTTTATGCTGGTTTTAATTTGGTCCTGACAACAGTTGTAATCACAGTGGTCCACGAGAGGGTTCCGCCCAAAGAAAGCAGCCCGCCCCTCCCTGATAAGTTCTTTGACTATGTTGACAGAGTCAAGTGGGCATTTACAGTAACAGAGATCAATGGGATGGTGCTGCTGACCATTTGGTTGATACAGCTGTTCTTCTTTAGATACAAGTAAGAACCAACAGCATTACCTGTATGTTGTTTTTTCTTTTGTTTCCTCTTTTCAATTTGTTCACGATTGCTGTGTATACTGTATGTGATAACCAACCCTTGAAACTTGTCAGTGATCTGCACGTCTGCATGTGTGATGAATTCAGGAAGTTCATCAGATTACTGAGCCTTCTGATCAAATCAAAATCATTTTCCGGCCGTTTCAACACTGGAGTTTCCTCTTGTATGGCTGCTCATTTAGAAAGCAGTCTTTGTTATTTAAAACTGAGTACAGGCTAAGTACCAGGCTATAATCATTTTAATGCAGCTGAAAAATGATGAATTTACATCATGTAGTCTTCTACATGAAATTACTTGTGGGAACTAAGACATAATTAAATTGACAGTGCAAGTAAATCACAAGTTTTACCGTCACGGCTTAACCTCAGTTCAATTGGCTGAACAGGAGCTATCATATTTGATGCGTTGACTGATCATACGGAGTTAAATTGCCTCCAGTCATTAGCATTTTGTATACTTTGATAGATTTTTCATTTTTTATCAAAGAAGTTTACACAATTTCACAATTAATACCAGTCACTTAAAAACTGTATGTATCAGGCAGACGCCATCATTTATACCTCTGTGTTACACTCTCTTCTTGTAGGTCAATAGCGTGTAGACGGTTCTTCTTCCTCATTGGCACCCTGTATTTGTACCGCTGTGTCACTATGTATATTACCACCTTGCCTGTACCTGGCATGCACATGACCTGCGCTCCGAAGGTAAGAAGCATGCAAGCATCAGAGTGTTACTCGTCATTTCTCGCCTGTGCACTCTGATGCGCTCTGGGACTAGTTGTCTTGCACAGCCACTCTGGAAAAGCAGCTATAAAAAAAAAGAAGTCCTTTTAGGTTTTTATTGCCTTGGGACATCAACAATACTGAGGTGCATTAGTGTCTGAACAAAAACATCTGCTCCTGGCAGTCGTTTTGGTTGGATACTGCAAAAAGGTTTGCAGGTTAGACAATTTAGTAGTTGTTCTTTTCCTAAGAATTGGGAATGTTGTGGATTGAGGGTCAAAGCTGTCAGCTGTCTTTAGGAAGGGAAACATCCTGCATAACTTGAGCAGCAGGTCTAAAAAAAAAAAAATCTAATTTACATTTATTTAGGTGTGGTTGTTGGTACTTCCTGGCTTGTGTAGCCTCTAGGTAACAAAAGCTCAACACTACGCCTAGCATCCTGGAGCACTTCTGTTGTGTTTTGTACGTGTTTTGGAGTTTGTACGTGCTTAGGAGTTTTTATGTTTTTTGGAGTTTTTACGTGTTTTGGAGTTTTTACATGTTTTGGAGTTTTTACGTGTTTTGGAGTTTGTACATGCTTTGTCTCTAGGGGCCACCGTAAATATACTTCTATTTATTCACTCCACATAAAATGTAATAAATATATCATATAATATAAAAACCAACTTTTTGCATTTCAACTTTTAACTATTTACATTTTCAGGTTTTTCCTTTTAAACAAATTTAAAGTGAAACAACACAAAACACTGCAAACCACAACACAATTAAATATAAATTATAATATGAAAACAAAAAGAAGATGCACATTCTCTGTCATATGGGCCTGCATGAATAAACTTTCTGAATCCTTTATCATCTGCAACTGAAAGTAGTTGTGGATGATTACTATACCTTTCTAATGTGACGTTGTTGTCCCTGGCTCACTTTCCCTCCGGCTCTGTTTCCGAGCTACTGCGAGTGTAACTACCGTCCCTCCGACCCTCTTCCCAGCGCAAAGCACAAGGCTCGCGTGCGGAGTGAAGTGGGGAAAAAAAGTGCGAGAGAGAGGGTGAGAGAAAGAAAAAAAAACCCATGGCTCGTGTCGTTCACTTCAAAGAGTCAGCTCTAAGAGCCATTTCGTTCAAGACCAACACATATTTGCTTGAGTTGGTTTTGGAGAATTTATCCAATATTTTATCTATCAGAAAATATACACTCATTGTTAACTTTGTTGGGTACAGCTAGCTAGGATCAGGTTGGACCCTGTTTTGCCTTTAGAACGGGCTTAGCTCTTCAAGGCACATATTCAACTGGAAACATTTTTCACAATTTTTTATCCACATGGACTAGATAACCTCACACAGATGCTGCAGATTTGTGAATCTTGTGTCCCACCACATCCCAAAGGTACTCTGCTGGATTGAGATCTGGTGACTGTGGAGCATGGTTGAGTGTAGTGAACTCACTATCACGTTCAAGAGATCAATTTAAACGCCAAATTCTGAACGAACTGTCTGAGAAATTTAGACTTACTGACCAGGCAAGATTTTTCCAATCTTCCGTAGTCTCAGTTTCCTGTTGTTACGAACAGGATGATCTACAGCACTACGAGAACAATGGTCTTTAGTGCAGTAGCCAATGAAGTTGTAGCGCATTCGGAGATGCTCATTTGCAGTCTTTGGTTGTAGAAGGCGGTTATTTAAGTTACTATTAGCTAGAAGCAGTCTGGTCATTCTCCTCTGAGCCCTGGCATCAACAAGGCATTTTCAAAAAAGTCCTATAGATAGTTGTGTGGAAAAGTTCCAGTGGGTCAGCAATTTCTAAAATACTCAGACCATGCCATTTGGTCCTATCAACCATATCATTTAATCACCTTTCTTCCCCATTCTGATGCTCAGTTTGAACTTCAGCAGGTTGTCTTAATCATGTCTACATGTCTAAATGCACTGGGTTGCCTCTATTTGATTAGAAGTTTATACATGGGTGTTAATGAGGAATTGAACATGTGTACTTAACATAGTGAATGGTGAACATATATTAATACTAATAATAACTCTCTTTTTCTAGATTCTCAAATGTGAAGATTAGCTTATTTTTAAAATCCATTTCACATTTATTCTGTAGTGGAAACAATTCCTCTGTCTCAATATTACCTCTGATCCCGTGTTTATCCCTCTCGTTACATCATCAGCTTCACGGAGACGCCCATGCGAAAATTCAACGAGTCCTGCGGCTGATTTCAGGTGGAGGGCTTTCCATTACAAACTCCCATCTCCTGTGTGGAGACTTTCTTTACAGTGGGCACACTGTGATGCTCACGCTCACCTATTTGTTCATTAAGGAGTGTAAGTACTCAAAGTAATGCTTGTTTGCTTCCGTGTGTGGGAGAATTTATGGGATTTCTCTATGAATAATACATGAACTACATTGGACTCATTCAGTTTTTATGAAATAGAGCGCTCGCTTAGCTGGAGCTAACAGGCTACATATAACTGACAAGTGCTGATTTGTTGCTTGCTTTAGTGTTTTATTAAAAAGTTTGACCACAAAAACAATCAGTATATGTTTTATTTTAAAACCGTGTATTTCTGGATATGTACTGTATTGGTAACTAAAGGTTATATAAAAATGTGTATGGCCAAAAAAGAAAAAAAGGGGGGGGAGTCAAATGTTTCAAAATAGCATGTGTCTTAGTTTTTACTGTTACTAAGATTTTACTTATGGAAGAAAAATAAATAAAGTCATAATTTTAGCAGGAAAATAAAGAAGCTGTTCTGAGATTAAAGTCACAAGAAAAAACTACAACCATACTTTTCAGCACTTTGCAAGAGCAGATCAACATCATTACATTCAAAGACATTAGTGAGGAGGTGCAACAGTATACTAGATGTAAACAGTGGTATCTTGGCATTTGTCCATTGCAATTTGCTTCCTAATGAACAAAAAGCTACCATGTCATCCATCTCAGTATATTATTCTGAATAGTAATCTCTCTTCAGGCTCTGGATGTGTATGATAATATGGTGATTCCGGTATAAAGGACCTTTATTTCATTCTACTGTAAGCAAAATATGCAACATGCTGTATCTTTGTGGTGTGATGATGTTAATTCAGCCTTGCAAAATGAAGCAAAGATGTTCTTTGGTGGGAGGAAAACAAAAGCTTCTCCCAAGTTAATTGCTTTAAATTCACAGAATATGAGAGATCTTTTTAACCGAATACTATCCATCACGCTTGGCTCTCTAATGTTTTCCTACATTATCTTTAATAAGACTTCATTAAATTGAAAAAAACAACATTTTACAAATAAATACTGACAGAAATCTTGTCTTTCCTGCTTCCCCTGAAGACTCGCCGCGGTCCTTTTGGTGGTACCATCTCGTTTGCTGGCTCCTGAGTGCTGTGGGCGTGGTGTGCATCTTGGTGGCTCATGAGCACTACAGTGTGGATGTGGTTGTGGCATATTTTATCACCTCCCGTCTGTTCTGGTGGTACCACACCATGGCTAATTTACAGGTTTGATCAAAAAGACACAGGACTCCTCAAGCATAGAGGACTGTTTTCCTAATGGCACTGGGTCCACTTTGTTGTGGGGGGCAGTGGGGAGCTATTAGTTATTACTGCTTTTGTTTATAGGAAATGATCTATATTATTATATATGCTTACAATTCCTCAAGTATTTTTAAACTGTGTCAAAAGCATCTGGGTGTAATTCAATGTCATTGCACCATTACAATGATACATTACACCCTCTAATGGACAAATTTTAAGCACTGTTGATGGAATTGATTAATATGCTTGGCACACTGACCACAATTTATTGTTGTTGTTTGGCTTAAGCATTATGCTTTCTCCCTTCAGGTCCTTCATTCATTTAAAATAAATATATATATATATTTATATATATATATACACATATATTTGCAGTGAATATGGAGCAATCTGAGTTACACAAATCAAACATTTTTATTCTGAAGGGCAGCATTTAAAAAATCCCTTGTTATTTTATAATTCTTCAACAATAGTAGAGACTTGGAAAAAAAATCTATCTGCTGATTTCTTGTTTCGAAGTTTATTCTAATATTTCTCGTTCGAACTCACACTCAACCCCCAACAATCTTAAAGACATCTATGGAAGCCCGTTTCCGCCACTAAAAAAAAAACAAAAACAAGTATCCATAACTCAAAATTTCGAGTTATTTTCTTGAAATTTCGAGTTAATAACTCGAAATTTCGAGTAAGCTCTGCCAATCAGTAATCTACGTGAATGAGGTCACTTTCTTGTTACCCGGAAGCATATGGCGCAGAGTAACACGGACTCAAAACCAGATCGCAACAAATTGGCGCTTTTGCGAGTACGTTTGCTGATAGTAACGCCATGTGATTCAGCTAATAACACAGGGATTTCATCATTTTGAAGCCACGCTGAAAATACTCAGCAATCTGTTCATTCATGACTGGATGTAATACCTAGCTTAGCTGTAGCATTTGTACCTGAGGGCTTCAGCTTCCGGGTAACAAATGACGTCATCCACGTAGATTACTGATTGGCAGCGCTAACTGGAAATTTCAAGTTACTTTTCTCAAAATTTTGAGTTAATAACTTGAAATTTCGAGTTAATAAGTCGAAATTTTGAGAAAATAAATTGAAATTTTGAGAAAATAACTCAACATTTCGAGAAAGTAACTCAAAATTTCGAGTTATGGATCTTTTTTTTTTGTGGCGGAAACGGGCTTCCATAGACAGACAATCTTCTGTTACAGACATTTGGGTGACATAATGATATTACTCTAATGTGAACTTTTTTTCGGTCTTCTTTTCAGACCCTGAAGTGCTCACCCAATAACTACCTCACCAACACCTGGTGGAACCCACTCTTTAACTTCTTGGAGAGGAACGTCCAGACCGCCGTGCCGTGTTCATACAGTTGGCCCATCGCCTGGCCTCCTTCCTGCCTGAAGAATCCCTGTAAGAAGTACTCCATGGTACAGAGCACACGAGAGGAGTAATATGACCCGGATATGGCAGCAGTGTTGCTCGATAATCCACCGAGGTGGTATTCATTCATCAAAGTCTTGCCTACTGGGCAGAAACATTGATACCAAATGTGTAGATACGAGTATGTCTAAGAAGATAATCATACGATCTCTGTTTGTTGTCACTGTGATTTATTTATAAGATCAAGTCCTGTAAGTTGTTTTTTTCCCGTAAATGATAAAGTTGATTTTGCTTCTGGTCAATTTCTTTTGATAAATGGACAGTTTTATGATGCCTACTTGCAGTTTTGTTGCAGTATTTCATTTGGTATATGTACATTTTGTCAGGGTTTCTCTCATTGTGATATTAATGTGCTCAAGTCACAAGGTGCCTTAGTTTGTTAAACGTCTATAGGTGTACCAAAGCTGCCATTATCAGTCTAGATATATTTGGGGGGGGGGTTTCTCTATTATTATTAATTTTGTATTAATTTAAGTAGCATTGACTGTGTATCCCAGCTGTAGTCCTATCATTGTAACTTTGTATTAAAATGTACCCAAAGCATAAGAGTGTTGCTTTTATTTCACTGAACACTTCATCAGAGGAGATTGTTTAAAAACTCCAGGTTAACAGAAAATACTTCCTCTGGGCACATGAAAATTAAATCAAATCCGCATTAAAAACAAAAACTCTCTTGTTTTTGCAAACATGAAAAATTGATGAAAAATTAAAAAGAAATAATAAAAATTTTACTGTCAGACAAAGGCTGCGAATACTTTTTGTTGTGTTTTTATTTTTTAAATTGTTATTTTTTTAAATAAATTTGAATTACAAGAATTACTTTTTTTTACTTTTCATGATGAGGTAGTGTGTGTAGAATCTTGAGGTGGAAAATGAATTGAACTCACTATGGCATATGGCTGAAATATGAGACTATCTGGAGCTACTTTCTAGATGCCTTGTATATAAGTGTTGACAGCGCAGCTCTTTGTATACATTTGATTTACTGGCCAAAAAAGTGAAAAAGTTTTTTTTTGTATTTTAAGTAAAATAAAATAAAAATAAAGCCTCAAAATGGATAAAACCCAGAATTGTGCCACTGCCAAACCTGGAAGACAGAATTAATGGCTCTAAAGGCCAATGACCGCTGGCCGCCAATCAAAATAGGAGGAAACACTGTCAGCCAATAGGAAGCCAGTAGCGGTACCACGTTGTTCTTGGCCTGCCACAACAACACAGGAAGAGCGTGAGCGTCTGTCTGTAAAACAAATAAATAGCAGCTTCGTGGTGTCAGTGTGCTCAGTCCTGGACATGTATTATCAACTAACTGTTTTGAGTTTATTTGAATGCTGACGTCATGGTTTCGCTCTCAGGCTTGAACGACTTCGTGCTGTTAAACGCAAACGTTGCGGCTTTAATAATAATCGCGTTGGCGCTGGTTGCTCTTTATCAAAAACAGCGGAATTTAAGATATAAAAACATTCCGCCAGGTCCGAAGCCATGGCCAGTGGTCGGAAACCTCGGCGGCTTTCTCGTACCCTCTTGTATCCTCAGGAAACGGATCATAAACCCCACTGACGGTCTGGCAGAATTGGCTAAAGTTTATGGTAACATATTCAGCCTTTTTGTAGGGAGTCAACTTATCGTGGTGCTCAATGGCTATGAAGCGGTCAGGGATGCCCTCTCAAACCATCCGGAGGTGTTCTCCGACAGGCCAGACATCCCTACCGTCACTATCCTGACTAAACGCAAAGGTAAGCAAGTTCTTGTATTAAATAAAGCATCTGTTATTGTAGGTTATCGGTTAAATAAGGCTATAACCGTGTAATAATAACCCATTAAAAAATCTTGTAAAATCTAGTAATCGGATAAGCGTTAGAATAGAGAGGTTTCACTGCCTTTGGTTAGTGTAATAAAAGTTGTTTTTTGTTTGTTTTTCTTGACAGCTGGTACAGTGTTGGAAAGCCTCACTGTCACATTCATATGTGTACGTAAACTTCTGAGCACAACTGTAATGTCTCCTCCTCAGTGTTATTACATTATGCCTAACAAAAAGTAATTACACCCTGTGAGGTTGGGTGCTAGTTGCTTTATTCATAGAATGATAGAATATAGCTGAACAGTTGTCTTCAAATTGAAGTTTCTCTTTAACCTTTAGGATTCACTGGAAGTAGATTGCATTTACTGCAAATCTACAATTAATATGCATGAATGTACATTTGAACTTAATAAGCCTGTAACTTAAACAGGCTCTATTTACCACATTCTAAAGTCAGTCAGTCTAAACAGTAGATTTGATAGTCTCCTCCATAACTTATGAGATGTAAGTTTTTAGGTATTCTACAATTTTAAGAGTCTAGTTAAGTAGCTAAAAAAACAATGACATACACGCTGACATAAGCTGTCCTTTTTTGTCCTGGTATAACTGAACTTCAGGGATCGTCTTTGCACCTTACGGGTCAGTATGGCGAAAGCAGCGCAAGTTCTGCCACACCACACTCCGCAGCTTTGGTCTGGGGAAGCTAAGTCTGGAGCCTTGCATTAAGGAAGGCCTTGCTACAATCAAAACAGAGCTGCTGCGGCTGAATGAGGAGTGTGGTGGCGCTGGTGTGGACCCGAGTCCACTAATTGGCAACGCTGTGTCAAACGTCATCTGCACACTGATCCTGGGTCAGCGCTTCCATCACGAGGATCGCGAGTTCCGCACCATGCTGGACCTGATGGCGCGAGGACTGGAGATCTGCATGAACAGCCCGGCAGTCCTCATCAACGTTTTCCCGCTGCTCTACTGGTTGCCTTTTGGAGTTTTCAGAGAGTTGCGTCAGGTGGAAAGAGACATCACCGTGTTTCTTAAGAGGATTATTACAAAGCACCGTGCAACACTAGATGCCGACAATCCAAGGGATCTCACAGACATGTACTTGATGGAGATGCTGGCCCAGCAAGATGCTAGAGAGGAGGACAGCAGCTTCACAGAGGATTATCTCTTTTATATCATAGGAGACCTCTTCATTGCTGGCTCTGACACCACCACCAATTCGGTTTTGTGGACTCTGCTTTATATGGTCATATACCCTGATATCCAAGGTAAAAATGGCAGCAATCAGTCAAGTCCATCCTTTGCAAAGTGCATGTGTTTGTGAAATCAAATCATTTCATTTGGACTCCACGGCAGTTTTGGGAAAATCACATTTAGTGTCAGAAATACCACTTTAAGTGTGATTTCACTGATTTGAAACAGTTGAAAATTTTGATAAATGACAGTATGGACTAGAGGTGGGAATCACCATACATCCCACGATACGATATTATCACGATACTTAATGCACGATACGATATTATCACGATACTTAACGCACGATACGATATTATTGCAATTTTTTAAAAATATTTTGCGATATTCAGATTCTGTACATAAAGGTAAACTTTAT